GGTATAATGAGTTAATTTCATTGGTTTGTTAACAAGCGAACTTAATTTTTTAAAATAGAAAATCAAAATATAATTTTAAGATTTTGTAAGACCGCATATTAACAATTTTACCTTTGAAAACCCAACATTCTAATTGGATCAAATGCCCAAAAAAAAAAATTATTTGACAACCTACTAATTTTTAAAGAATATTATGTAAAATTCAAATTTTGAAATTAAATAAATAATAATAATAGGTTAAAACCAGACAATAAATGAATGAACGAGGGGAAGACGAAGTGGTACCCATGGGCCGTAACTTCTACTCTAAATTTAGGGTCGTTCTTTAGAGGGAAAAAAAGGAAAAAGAAAAAGGAAAAAGAAAAAGGAAAAAAAGGGTGAAGATGATTGGTCGGTGAGTGAGAGTGATGTCGGTGACGGGGCACTTCAATTTCCCTTCGATTGATCACGTTTCATTATAAATAACAGAGCATCGCCATGTCCATGCTTAAGGTTCTCTCACCACTCTCTCCTTCTACTTTCCTTTCCCCTTTCCTTTTTATTCCTTCTTTTTCAAAACAATTTTACAGGAAATAATCTCTATCGCCTTCTCCAATATTCCTTCTCTCTCATCCCCATTTTTCTCTCCCATAAACCCCTGTTTCCGCCATTGCTCTCTCTCTCTCTCTGCATCTTCACCTTTTCTCTTCTCTCTCCTAACTTCAAAAATCTCATAACTCAAATCCCACTTCGCAAAATTCATCTTAACCATACCCATTCTTACAAATCTGTGATATCAAGCAATTGTTTCAGCAGAATCAGTGAGCTTTAGCACGAGGATAAAACAGAGCATTTCAATGGGATTGTTCTGCCATTCCCACCACTCTTCTTCCTTCTTCTCGAGCTTGGTTGTGCTTCTTCTTGTCAAAGGTAAACTAAAACTGTCAGATTCATCCATTTTAATTCTGGGTAATCGCTTGTTTTCCCCAATTTTATCGAATTGTATCAAAATCTGGAGCAGAATTAGTTCAATTTGGTTGCTCTGTTTTTGTTGTTTTTTCAATCTTCTTTCTCTGTGTTTTACAGAGGTTTCCGGTGCTACATTCAGGTTCATTAACAA